ACAGACCCCAGTGGCTCGAGAAACACCTGGTGTGCATGTACACGCACATGCCCAAGATCCTGACTGTGGTAAAAAATGGAGGAAAACAGATTGCAGCATGACCCTGCCCCATTGGTAGATGCTTTCTCTTTCTTTCTCTGGTAAGCACATGTGCTCTCTGGCAATTTGAAAACAACAAAAGAATATATAAGTACAAATTGTTCTAATTGTTTTAAAGAAAAACAACCAGTTATCAGTCCCATTAAGGTTACCTGGTCATGAAATATGATTTTCTCTGGATTTTCTTTGCTAATATTTTACTTGAGATTTTTGTATCAATATTTAATAGTGGAATTAGCTTATAGTGTGTTTGTTCTTTGATAAGTTTGAGATCAGTATTGTGTGGTCATGTTTTTTAAAAATATGAAAACATTCTTCTTATGTCCTGAAATAGGCAGAATTATCTGTTCCTTCAAGATTTGAAGACGTGACATTTATAACTGCCTAGGTCTGGTTCTTGTTAGGATGTAGTTTTTAATAACTCCTATATTTTCCCTATAGTCATTTTCATGTAAAAAATAAGCAATTTATGCAAGTATTCCTTTATGTGTGTGTGTGTGTGTGTGTGTGTGTGTGTGTGTGTATTTTGTATGTGTACATGAGTGTCTGTGTGTAAGCTATTTCTAAGTTCTATTTTGGGTTAGTTATAATTTTTCTTAATTTAAAAAAAAAGTTTGGTCTATTTTATTGGTTGTCTTTTTAAAAAATAATTGTTTATTTTTATTTATTCATTCATTTATTTTAATTTGACCAGAGAGAGACACAGAGAGAGAAAGAGAATGTGAGAAAGCAAGCCACCAGGTCCAGTACTTGGACTGTGGTTGGCCATGTGGGAGTGCCCAGCGTCTTAACCACCACGCCACCTGCTGGTCCCCAGTTGGTTGTCTTTTTATTGTTATTAATTTTTAATTTGCTATAGGAAACATGTGCTCACCAGAAAAAGAAAGAAAAGAAAGAAAGCAAACCTCCAGGTCTGGGATTTGAACCATGGTTTGCCATGTAGTAGTCCAGTACCTTATTCACCACACCACCTGCTGGCCCCTATTAGTCATCTTTTAAGAACTTAGTTATCCATTCATTACTTTTCTATTATCTATTTCATTTCTGCCTTTTTAATAAAATGCTCTTTTCTACTTTCCTTAGCTTTATTTCAGCTTCCCTTCCCCCTACATTGAGTGTTTAATTGGCCTAGATTTAAAGCAATTATTTTGGGACCAGCAGATGGCATAAAATGGTTACGTCGCTGGACCCCAAGTAGTCAACCTCAGTTTTAGTCCTGGGCTGGCAGCTTAAACTCACGCTGGGCGTGTGTGTATGTGTGCCCAAAGTCCTGAGAGGAGAATGGAAGAGAAGGGATTGCAGTGTGGCCATCCCCTCTGAGGGGTGTAGCTTTTTGCTTTCTGTCTCTGTCTTTCTGGCCAGCACATGCGCCCTATAGCAAAAATCTCTGTCTATAAAAAAGAAAACACAAAAAACAAACAAAAAACAATTTATCTGAATACAACATTAGTTATAAACTATATGTTTTAATATTAAGTGTTTTTATAATTGTTTATAAAAATTAAAATTTTATTTATTATATTGGGTCATCAGAAAAGTCTTGACTTTTTTTCTGTTTTTTAATACAAAAATGCATCATGACTTTTTTGACAACCAAATATTATTATTTTTAAAATTTGCTATAGGGTACATGCACTAACCAGAGACGGTGGTGGGGGAAGAAAGCAAGCTGCCAGGTTCTGGGACTTGAACCAAGGTTGACTATGTGGGAGTCCAGCGCCTTAACCACCATGCCACCTATTAGCCCCCATAATGATTTTAAAAATGTAACCTGCAATGAAATCTTGCTCAGCTGTAGCTTAAGAGTAGAGTTAACATTTCCAGGTGGTAGGGTTTTACTGGTTCCTACTTTTGTTATTATTTTTCTGCCTTTATTTCACTGTGATCTGAGAATATGAACTACTTTAGCTTCCTGGAGTGTATCAGGAATTTCTTTATGACCAATTATATGATCAACCTTTATTTACACGGGCACTTGAAAGTGTTTCCCATTTACTTTGTCTTCAGGATTTAGAGTTTACTATTAGAGGTACTAGTTCAAAGTTAAATATTCAGATCCTTTACCTTCAGATATTTTCTGTCTAGTTAGCTTTCATGAACTGAGAGAAGTCTCTTCCTCCACTTATATTTTTGTTAATGTAGGCTTGCATTTCTCTGCAGATTTCCCATTGAATATTAGATATGATGTCCTTATGGATTATGCCCTTTATATCAGAGTAAATTTTTCCTTTTCTGGTCTAATTTGTGTTTTTTTTTTTTTTTTGGCTTGATTTTAAGATAATAATATTTTAAAAGGATTAAATATATATCTCAATTGCAGTAATGTATATGCAAAGTATAATTTGAATAATTTTGACTGTTTCTTTCTATTGATCAGAGTTGAAGATAGAAACAATGAGAAAAAATAGGGTGCTCCAACATTTTCATTCAGATCTAATATATGACTTAGTACAACTCAATTAGAGAATAAGAAGACAAGATATGCCCTTACCTAGAAGTGCCACTAGGGTTAGCAGAACCACAATGTGCTTCATTCCTTTTCTTTTAAGAAAATATAGAAGGATGCAAAAAATCAATATTTCTAAAATCTAGAAATGAAAAAGATGAAAAACAGGTTATTCTATACACAGTCTTCAAAATGCCACACTTAAAAAATTATTTATTTAACTGTATGTATGTATGTATGTATGTATGTATGTATGTGTGTATGTATGTAATTTGACCAGAGAGAGATAGAAAGCAAGCCTCCAGGTTCGGAACTTGAACTGTGGTCCACCATGCAAGAGTCCGTGCCACCTGTCAGCTCCATACTGTTAAACACCTGTCTACCAGTGATGCCCAAATCTAGATATCTCGTTCTGACCTCCCAAAGAACCAGTCTCAACAACTTTCCTTGAGTCATTCCCACAACACACCTAATGGACATCCACACACATATGGGCAACGTATAACTCTTGATTCCCAACTTGTTCTTCCTGAATCTTCACCCCTTAGTAAGCGCTATCACTATATGCCCTGCTGCACAAGCCCCAAACTCTTCACTTTCCCTCACTCCTTGCCATCCTCCCTCTGGACTACTGCAGTAACTTCTAATTAATCTCGGATGTTACCCTTGCCTCTCTACAATCCAGTAACTCAGCAGTCAGAGAACTATTTAAAAATACAATTGGGATAATAACATATATCATTTGTAGATAAGAATATATATAAGAAACAGAACCTACCAATACTTTTTTTTATTTGCTGAGAGTGTGTTCACTTGCCAGAGAGAGAGAACAAGAGGGAAAAGAAGAATGCTCTTCCCAGTGGGGTGTGGTTATGCTACAATCCTTTCTCCCTCATTTCCCCATCCTGTTGGGATTTTGGACACGTACATACACGCACCCAAGCTGCTAGGGACAGGATTAAAACTGTGAGGTTGGCTACGTGGGATCCGGCTTCTTTACCACCAGGTGACGGGGCTCGTTTTCTACCAATGTCTTTCATGTGCCCTTCCACAGCTGGACCCCCTCCTTCAGGGCTCTCCCCGGGAGATACTACACTAAATTTTGTGTCCATCATTCACTTTCCTTATCATTCATCACATTTTAATGTATCCCCAAATAATGCCCTGTTTATCCTTACATTTGGACTTTATATGAGTAGAATTATACTTGCTTTTACATGCTTGCCTTTTTAGCTCTGCCTTGTAGTAACAATATAAATTAGACTTAGTCATTCCTTTGCTAAAACCTCCTATGTTTTCTATCACATTTAGAATAAAATCCAAACTCCCCCTAGATTACAAAGCTCTAGCCAATATGTCAGATCTCATTTTGTACCACTCACTCCTAGATTGTCCACTCTGTACCAACCACAATGTTCTTTTAAAAACTTTTCTTCCCACAGTCCTTTGCATTCCTCAGATTTCTCCCGTTCCTGGGCCTTTCATTGTTCGTGCTGTCCGAATGCTCTTTGCTGATCCCTGCACAATGGTTGCTTCTAGTTCCCAGCCCTCAGCTCTGACATCATCCCCTCAGAGAGGCCTTTGCAGTGGTTTGAATGCGTCTGCCAAAATTCATGCATTGGAAATTTAATCTCCCACACAACAATGTCGCGAAGTGAGATCTCTAAGAGGTGAACGGGGTATGAGAGAGTGGGTTCCTGACAAGAGGATGGGCTTAGCCGTCTTCCTGTCTCCATGACTCTCCCCTCCTGTCCTTTCCCCTTTCGCCACAGGATGCAGCAAGAAGGCCCTTGCCAGATGCCAGGCAGCTGCCTGGACCATGCCTTTCAGCTGCCTAGCCTCCACAACCACAAGTAAAATAAATCTGTTTTCTTTATAAATTACCTAGTCTGTGGTATTCTGTTTTAGCAGCAGAAATTAAACTAAGAAAGTCTTGTCTCATAACTGTGCTCTAAGAATCACCAGTTATACTCTCATACTCCAGGCTTCGGGTCACGCTAGAGCGTTTTGTCCTTATCAGGGGGTATTTCTTATTCATATATTTAGTATTTCTACTCTCTCTCCCTCACTGGAACCCCAAGCTGTACGAGAGCAGGGACCTTATCTGTCCTGTGTGCCATTTTATCTCCAGTGTCGGGCACATAGTTTGTCACTCAGTAAATACTCATTGAATTAACGAGCAAATCACACATCAAGTTTACTAGAGAAACTTTCTGAAAAAGACCTAATGCCTAATAATTTGAGTGTTCAATAAATATTGACTAAGAGTCCAAAATTTTCCTACCCGTAAGAAAACAATAGTGTAATTTCGAGTTCTGTTTTATTTTTACTTGTTTTTTGCAGCGCTTAAGCTGAAGTCAAGTTATTTATTTATTTTTTTATTAGCGATAGTATCCTTGAACTGAAATCATAAGTATGAATGTTCATTTTTCTGACATCAGATGAATAAAAGTAACAATTACTAATTGTTTTCTTAAAGATTGCTGGGATTTCTTAAAGATTTTGCCAGGATTGCATTTTACTTTCAGAGTTCTCTCTAAATCAATTTAAATCTGTTTCAATTCAAAGTTCTGCTTGGTGTTCTCCTCTTGGTCCCCTGTGAATATGGAAGCAGCAGGACCCCTATCTTCTTCATTTAAAACTCTTTTCATCTAATATAGAAGATTAAATCATCCCTTAGTCTTTTCTCCTCCTGGTAAATTAGACCAATTATTTTAACTTCTCCTTATAGGACTTATTTGCCAAGTCTTTAATTTAATCGAGTCAAGCTACAGAAGCTATTAAAGTTTTGCTATCTCTTTGCCTTCCCTAAAGCGGCTATCAAAACAGTGGGTGTTCTAATTTCCGTACAACTCACCAATCACTGTACAGAAACAAAGTCTGAGAAGCGAGAGGGACCAGTAGATGGTATAATAGCTACGTCGCTGGACTCCCATGTAGTCAACTGTGGTTTGAGTCCTGGACCCGGTGGCTTCAACTCATGCTGGGCGCGTGTGCATGCGTGCCCAAGATACCGAGAGGAAAATGGAGGAGAAGGGATTGCGGCGTGGCCATCCCCCCTGGGGGGTGATTTCTCACTTCCTGTCTCTATGTCTCTCTCTGTCTGTCTGGCGAGTGCATGTGCCCTAAAGCAAAAACCTCTCCAAAAAAAAAAAAAGGAAGTGAGATGCTGAGAGGTGAAGGGATTAATGCCATTAGTGAGGAGTGGGTTCCTGAGAAGAGGATGGGTTTAGCCATCTTCAGTTCAGGGTCCCTTCAACCACAGACGTCTATTTGTCATGTGAGACAACCACCCACCACACCCAGCAGAGAAAAGAAAGCCCTTCCTGCACTAGCATGCAGAGCATGTCGACTAAATCTACGCGCTTGCTGAGTATTAACCTGGAGGAGTCGGGGGTGAGGGTAGTTGTTACCAGTTCTAAAAACCATGTGTGATTTTTTTTTTTTATTTTTGCAAATGCCATCTCTGTGGCTTTAGATAAATAAAACATGAGTTCGTATTATTCACACAATGACTATTTGCCCTGAGTTCTGCTTCATGACAGGAGGTCACACAGCTCCCAGGAATCAAATATTCAAGCAGTATACATTCATGTTAAAATGCAACTTTGTTCTCTCTCTGAACATATCAATATTCAATAGACTGTGGTTTCTGCAGGCTGCTGCGGCCCAGGAAGAAGATGCATTGCTGAGTGCTGTCTCAGAGGGCAGAAATAATTGCAGCCCTTTCTACGCGTCCCTGAGCCTCACACTGTTCTCACGGCCTTCCTTGCACTAATCCATTGAATCCTCACAACCACCTTAGGAGGCAGATACTAGTGTTCTCCTGTTTTATAAACAAAGAAACTGTGGTTCAGAGGGGTTAAACGATGTAGCTCTGGTAGGCAGAATAATGGCTCCATAATAAGGCCCATGTCCTTAATACCCAGAACCTGTGACTATGTTAATTTACAAAGGGACTTCACAGACAAGATTAAGGCTATGGCCCCTACATGCAGAGATTGTCTTGGCTTATCCAAGTGGGCCCGTATAATCACTCGAGTCCTTAAAAGCAGAGAACCTTTCCAGCTGTGGTCAAAGAGAACTACACCATGAGAAAGACCTGAGCCAAGGAATGCAGGTGACCTTTCAACACTGGAAAAGGCCAGAAACATTCTCCTCTAGAAGCCCCAGCCAGGAACCCAGCTCTGCCAATACCTTGGTTGGAGGCCAGTAAGATCAGGTCAAACTCCTGACCTCCCACATTGGAAGATAATGTGTGTTGTTTTAAGCCATTCTGTTCGTGACAACTTGTTGTGGAAGTCATAGCGATCTAAGCGAGGTTTGGTACTTGAAGTCTTTCCAGAGGAACAGTCTTCAGGATGAGTTTTCTGAACTGATTTTGGGTTTTCTGAATTGGTTCTCCGATCCACTTAGGCTGAAAGGCACTAATCGCCCTGCTTTCAGTGGTAAAACGGGCTCTGGCAGTCTATGAGTGGATGTAGCAATAAAGACACAAAATTCCACCATTGGATGCCTCGCTCTTCATCCCAAAATCTGAGCTGGAGTTCACCTCATCTTTTCTCACCAAGTTCTTTCTTGAGAGCATAGCCTTTGATATGGCTTCTTTGTCCAAACGAACCTCTGCAAAGGTTCTCACTAAGGTAGAGTTTGGACAGAGATTTGATCCTCGATACACATCTTTATTTGTTCTCCTTTGAGAGCTGTTTAGAGATGTTCATTGAATTGTTCACCCACAGGTGAACGGCTTGGTTTTGAATTCTGGCTCTAACATTTGGTATTTATGTGACCTTGGACCTCCCTGAGCCTCAGCTTCCTCACCCGTCAGATGCAGGGGGTAAGAGTGCCCAAGGCCTAGGGCTGAGGTAAAGGATAGGGTGTGATGAGGGCTAAGCATGGGCTTGGCTGCTGTGGGCGTGTTGGCTCCTGCTATTGCGGAGTGTCTGCTAGAGCAGATAATCAAGTGGCATTTGCATTCGGACAATAAAGCAAATGAATATCATGCAATACATATTGACATCTTGTAAAAACATAGCTTCCTCCCTTCATGTTTTTCATACCTGATGGTGGACTTGGAAGCCGCTTTGCCAGAAAGGCTGATTTAATCATCAGCTGTGGGGTACAGAATTACACCAAACGATA